CTAAGTGCAGGGAATACAAATAGAAAGATCAAGACAGTCCCTGCCCTACCTCTCTGGCCTTCTTGGTGGGTGGAGGAGGGGGCTGGAAAAAAGAGAGACAATGTAGATTTGAAAATAATCTTTTTAATCAAATTTTTTTAAAAAAGGAATTCAGTTGGAGGGAGGATAGAAAGGTCTAAGATTCTTGGGATACATAGGCAAGTCAAATGGAATTTTCCAGAGGTTTGGAGGGGGTAACTGAAGGTCAGAAGGTAAAACCTAGTGGTCTTCCACATCACAAGAAGGATTGTAGATGCTTTTGCCACCCAGCAGTCCCAGATGAGGTCTGGATAGATTGGGATCAGACTAGGGGAGAGGAATGGAAGAGACTGCCCCTGCTGGCAGCTCTTTAGAATATTATTGTGCTACAATGATAGAAACAATTCAGAGAATCATGGGGAGATTTATATGAACAGATAGAGAGGGAAGTAAACAGAACCAGGAAAATAATATACCCTTCAAGAAAGTAAATGGAAGGGGCAGCTAGGTGGTGCAGTGGATAGAACACCGGCCCTGGATTTAGGAGGACCTGAGTTCAAATCTGGCTTCAGACACATAACACTAGCTGTGTGACCCTGGGCAAGTCACTTAATCCCCATTGCCCAACCAAAAAACAAAAAAAACAAGAAAATAAATGGATAGAAATACAAGGAAACAAAAGAGACCTAAGGGCATTTAATCATAATTTCCAAGAAACAGGATCAGGGAGACAAGTTGAGAAAATAAATCTACCTTTTTTACAGAAGTAGGAAGCTATGGCTAAGATATTGCTACATGTGTTCCTCTAGGTCCTCAAGTATAGCCCTTTGACTGAATCCAAACTTTACAGAACAAATCCCCTTAATAAAAGGATTTGTTCTGTAAAACTTAAGACGCAGTCAAAAGGCCCATACCCAAAGACCTAGAAGGCCACATGTGGCCTCCAGGTCGCAGGTTCCCCACCCCTGGCATATACTGTTGGATTATGTTCATATATTGGTTGTTTTTGCTGAACTATGTTTGCCTTTTTTTTTTTTTAATTCTTTGCTAGAAGGTCACTAGGACAGGAAGGGAGGACTGATAGGTTTGGAAATAAAGTGATGTAAGAACAAGAGATTAATGCTTTTTTTTTTTTTAAGAAAAAGGAAGTCTAGGAATGTTCAAAGGAATAACATAGAGTCCATACCTTGGGAAACCCATTGAAAATTATACTAGGTGTAGCATTTATGGTTACAAAGCACTTTCACATCTTGACCCTGGAAGAAGCACTGGGAGGTAAATCCTGGAATCAGCTGGAATCATTTCCAAATGTCATCATGTGGTTAGTGATGGGGTATGGGCCCAAGCCGAGACTTTTGTCTCTTGCCCCCAAAAGAATTTGGGTCCCATTTGTCTATGGGCCCCAGAAAACCCTTAAACTTTCTTCGACCTCACTCTGGTCTCAAACAGTTGCCTGAGGCTATACTCCATTCAACTGGCTTTTCCTTATCTCTTATTCTTATTCTGATGGATGGATGAATTCTGAAGGCCTTATCTCCCTTTGATCTCCTAAATGAAGAAGCCTAGTCTTTGATCCCAGTATATTTCCCACCTTTGATCTTATCCAGACCCCACTGGACCTCTTCCTTCCAGTTCTTTGTCACCCTAATAAAGCCTAGCCCTTCATTGTCTATTCCAAGTAACCTCCCAGACACTCCCGGTCTCCCTAAACTCCTCCCCTAGTCACCCAGATCCCCTTCCCAGCTCTTCCTCTAAACACCCCAAAATTACTTGGCTGTATATAAGATTCATCCTGGCCCCCATTTAAACGCTGAGATTTCCTCATGCCCACTCGTCCTTATGTGTGTCACTAATGTTCAGATTCCTTAAGAATATGGTTTATCTCTAATAAAACTTTGTCTTTGGCTGAAAGACTTGGGTTGAATTCATTTGGACAGGACGCAAGTATCGTGATCTCAGGGTCCCCAGCACCCCTACAATCTACACCTCATCAGTTAGTACCACTGGGGGAACACGTTGTGACCCATTCATGTCTCTCTTTTGTGTGACTCGACTTGAAACTGTGCACTCCCTCAAGACATGCAGACTCATCTTTACCCTATTTTCTGCCCTGCATTCCCTTCTCTGCTCATTCTCTTTCTACCTCTTGCTCAGAGAACTTGAATTAAATCAACACTAGCTATGGCAATGGGAAGGGTGTGTCAATAGGCACACCCTTTCCATTCACCATCTTTGGGATTCACATACCATGACAACATCTTCCTGGCCACCACTTCCATATATGTACTGTGTTTCCCATTGGATATAAACTCCTTGAGGGCAGGGACTGTATCAATTTTCTATTTGGTATTGGTATGCCAACATTTAGCACATTGCTTGACATATAGTAAATGATTAGGAGACACGCAGTGCCCTAAGGGTTAAGAGAATATTAATGTTGCTTTTCCAGTACTTTGTGAAACCCCACCTTATTCCATAACTCGAAAGACATCCTAAAGGGGGAAAGCCCCTTTATCTTGAACCTGTACCAAAAGAATTGCTTTTGTGTCCCTTATCCTATGTTCCCCATGTCCTTTAATTTTTAACCTGTGCCCTCATGCCCTGTCCTTAAACTCTTAAACCATATTCTCTTCATCTCCTTCATTCTATGTCATAAAATCCTTCCTTGACCTGCCTCTAATCTTTAACCCCCATAGAAACTTCTGAAATTATCTTGTAAGCAACCATTGCCCCCATCCTGTCCTTATAAAACAAGCCTTATCTCTCTTTAAGTTGCTAGTCTGCTGCTTTTGCATCAATAAAGCTCCCAGTAGTTACAGAGAAGGCCTAAGTGAATTCCTTCATACCTGAACCAGCTCTCCCAACTCTAAGCCTCAACGGTAAACACTTCATAAATACACTTCCTACTTTCCTTTTTTCCTTCCTTCTCTCTTTCTTTTCCTTCTCTTCCTCCCTCTCTCCCTCCCTTCCTTCATGGCTATGTCCTAAACATCCATTATAGGGAGTCCACCCAATATGCTGGGCCTACCTCTAGGTCTTTGGACATTGTAGACAAAAAAACGTAGCACACAGACATCAGTTATCCTGTGTTTTTGCTACATGACAGGCAGCCCTCTCTCTTTAGCCATGTCTCTGATGACACCTTTTAATTCTGCCTCTTCTGTGCAGTTTCTCCTCTTGGTCTCATCTTGGGGAAAGGTTTATCAGGTTAATGCAGTAAGTTCCACTGCTCAGCTTTATGGTGATTTTCCTTACCTGTGTGCCGAGTGGGTTTGGAAGAATGCCTATGTCAGACTGCACTTGGACATGACTTTTAAAGTGCCAATGCAGACGTGCAGATGAGAAATGAGTACAGCTGAGCAGGGCTGTATTTCTAATTCGAAACCAAATCCTCAAATCACTGAGAGCTGCAAAAGACATGGGAGCCTTCATCTGTAAACCAGGGGTTAGCAAGCCTACAGGTTAAAGCTTTTTTTTTCCCTGGGCTAGTTGACAGGCCACAGCCTTCTTCCTCACCATCTGTGACTGTCACTGCCCAGCCTCCCACTGTCTCCCCAGTTGACTGGACCCTTGGCACACAACCTTGCCAGCTCTTAAGTCATTATTAAAGCTCTACCTTAACATCCTAAAAGGCTGTCCCCTCCTGTGCAGATTTCTTTCTCCCAATAATGTTGATCCTTATGAGATACTGTTTTTAAAAAAATTTTCCTTTTGGTTTGAAAATGGTCTTTTTTGTCTTAGCTAAATTTTTACCTTCTACAAGAAGTCTTTCCTGATTTCCCCTAAATTGTAGTGCCTTCCCTCTGTTGATGCTTTCCACTTTGTCCATAGTTGCTTATATTGTCTCCCTCATTACACTGTGAGCTCCTTGAGGACAGGGACTATTTTTTACCTTTCTTTGTATCCCGAGGGCTTAGCACAAAGCCTAGTTCATAGTAGGCATTTGATGTTTATTGACTGGTTTTAAGTAGCATGTAGTCAGAAACTTGTGCCACAGTTTAAAACGTAAGAAAGGCTCTTCTTAGAAATGAATTCTTACCAGGAGTGTGCTGGTAAATGTTTAACAACAGGATCTCTGAAAATGAACAACAGGCTTTTAAGTCTAATTTGTATTATTTAATATTTCAGCCATCATTTTAAGTCTAGATAATTAACAAAACAATTCAAGTCCTTCGTCGCATGTGCTGATTTCAAAGGCAGATTTAAATTCTCACACTGAAAATTTAATAATCTGCCCTGTGGGCTAGTATGAACCAACTTCAGCACACTTCCAATTCTAACCCTTAATCAATAGATAGTATCAGAGGGCCTTTCCCACTAAAAAATCCATTATTTTATGATCATAAAACAGCATGGTACAATGAAAATTAATGAGTCTGGAGTTCTAGCTGTGTTCAGATCTTCTTCCAGATGTTTGTTACCTGTGTGACCTTGGACAAGTGACAATTTTCCTAGGCTGGTTTTTTTTTAAGTTTTATTGATGTGTTTTTACATTACAAACAATTTGCTTACACCCTCTCCTCCCCAATGAGAGGTCTCTTGAACAAAGTAAAACAATTAAGCAAAACTAATAATATTGTGATTTATCTAAAAGTATCCCCATTCTATTTTTTATAATACATATTTTTTTTTAACAGAAATCTTTTTTCTCTGTCTCCCACCTCCTATCTGTGAGGGAGATGAATGAGATGATCTCTGAGGTCCCTTCCAGCCTAGATCAAAGATTCTATGATCTTCTGTTTAAGACTGAGATAGACATTGGATGCATGATTTCAATGGTCCCAGATGGGGAAATTCCCTTTACCAGTGCAGGATGGCACCTTCTTTGCAACTTGCAGTCTTTACAGAGTTGCCAAGAGCCCTGAGAAGTTAAGCCACTTTAGGTTCTTCCAGGAATCGGTAATAGCTTGAAGCTATACCCGCAATCCCTATGCCTCTGATTTAAAAAAGAAGTAACACTGCGAAATAAAACAAGACAAGCATAAAGACTGAACATCAAATTTTAATCTTAGACACTTGGATCCATCTCCCCCAAGTTCACATGGAAAGACTGGAAAAATTGTCATCGTATCATTGCTGCACTGTTGTGTGACAAACTCTTGTTTCAAAACTTCACTCTACTATCTTCAAAAAAGCTGATAGAAAAGCCATACAATACATCAGCTAACAGAACTATTAACAGATATCTTAACTGACTTTACACCATGAAAACTATTCACAGAGGTACCTTAGTCACATAGCTTAAGATATGGAGAAAACGGACAGGTAGAAAAAAGAATTTTAACCTGCAGTAGTCTTTTTGCCTTTTTTAAAATCTTATTTTATAAAATGTGCTAATTTCCCCAAAATAAAAAATATTATGACACATTGGTGTCAACCTATATGTTTATGAAAGCTGACAACAGCTTTTTCCTAGCTAAAGTTCATTTCACAAAACCTTTATATATTACATGAATATCCAAGTAAACTATTTTTTAAAATATTTAAAACACAGAACAGAATATACAGCATTTCATTAAAAATGATGAATTTAGGAATGGTTTTGTTCTCAACTCTTGCTCTAGATTTTTAAGACTCACTTGCACTTCTTGATGCCTCAAGAAGCCTTTTTTGAAAATTAGATTTCTTTATCTTCCCAGCTGAAATTCTTAAGAATAAAAAAAAAAAATTAAAAGGCATTTTCCATTAGAAAACCATGACAACGTTGTCATTCACAACCATGAGATTTCCCTCACTCCTTATGTCTTTAGGCCTATCCCAATTCTTTGCGCTTTATGACAAGCATCAAAATGAGAGCAACAGAGAAGACCACTGATATCAAAGGGAGAGAGAGAAAAAAGAGATGGCTAGCCAGATCCTTGCCAGGGTCATAAGGTGTGGGCGCATTTGCTGATGCTGAGCTCGTCCAGGCTCTAACGGAACACAATGGGTATCACTGAGCCCAGGTGTCACACCAGCCAGATGGACAGATGCTAAAGGTGCATTCTCACTGACGATGCAACTTAATGGATTATGGGCACCTCCCCATTGAGTCAGAGTTCAGTCAGAAATATGGTCACAGCAGTGACTTTGGAGTGGCGAGAAGAATAGTCTTAGAGTATTTAAGAGGTTTCATTTCTTAAGGGCATTCTTAAGGGTCCCTAGGGGGCCACTCTGAGTGCAAACTAGCCACAACAGGAAATGACAATGAAATACACACACCATGCACCATTTATATTACCGTGGGAATTCAGTAATACATGCAAGACAGTGGGGGGAGAGAGGTAATCCCAATGGATTAAAGTTTCCATGGTTAAAAACTTAGTCAACTTTTCACAGTGCCCAACAGCCTTTTAAATTTTCTTTTTTTCACTTTAAGACAAGTAAACCACTACCATTACTGCTCAACCATATTTTTAACATCTTCTGGTCATGCAGATTACTTAGGGGGGAAAGGGCAAATTATATTTAATAGCCATTCTTAGACATTGAGTATGGTTTTAATTTTACTTAATTTCTAACCCAAGGGACTAAGCTGCTGCTATTCTTATAAAACCAAGTAGGAGAATTTTGTATTTGTGTTCCCTGGGCTTATCACAAAGTCTGGCCCATAGTAAGCACTTAATAAATGTCTTTTCATTCATTCATTCATTCATTCATTCATTCATTCATTCATTCATTATCCCATTGGATTGGGAGTCAGGACACCATGGTTCTACTCCTACTTCTGCCACTAATTGACTTTAGGACCTTAAAAAAAGTCACTCTTCTCCATCAGTTTCCTTATCTGTTAACTGGGAGGGGGAAAGGGTTTGATGAGATGAGTGCTCTTAACATTCTATGATTCTACAAATGTGCTTTGATAAGGTTTTCTGTTGAGTGCTGTGCTTAATTCTCCTTCACAGTTCCCTGATTATGACAACTGTTCTGTGAACATACTCCCAACCACAAAATTAGATTGAAAACCTGCATGGCAAAATGTCCAGAGCAAATGAGATTGAGCAGGAATCTCTTTCTGCTCCTTTCTTGGGTTCTCTCCCTTTTTTCTACACCCTTGTTGGTGTGGATTTGGTTGTTAAGTCTTCAGTCCTCCAGGAATATTGCATTGTTTGGGATGTGACTGTCATTTCAGAAAGGGGAGAGGCAAAGGAGATAACCACTGTTTCTATCTTAGGGCACAAAGTATGGTATTTTACCTGCTGAGACTTAATCAATACACTATCATCATCACAACACTGACCCCTTTTCAAAAAGACAAGTTACAATCTGCCACATACAGTTTAAAAGGAAGAAACAGAAATGTACTCTCTGTCCAAAAGAATCACTTGCTCATCAGGAGAGAATCCAGCTTCTCCTTAGCTATCATTTCATAAATTAATAATCTGTTAAAATCATGATCCCAAGAATTTGTCTATAACATGAATTCAAGTTTAAAAAATCAAATAAATTAGTTACAGCCTTGTAAACAATTGTCCATTTTCATTGCAAATTTAAAAAGAAAAAGGTGTGTTTTGTAGAAGAAATCAGACAGTACAAGGCACATATCACACATCAGAATCCAAAGGGAGAAGGCCACAGATGAAGCCACCATCATCTTTGGCTGATGCTGCAATCGTGCTTGCTATTGGGAGTCTGTTTCTATCCTTGATCATCTGAAAATGGATGACTGTGCTCTCTAAGATCATTGTGCTCTTTCATTAGGTAATGGGATTTGCAGCTTTCTAAGTACAGTTACATCTTCTCAGATGTTTTCCACAAAGCTCCCTGGGAAAAGGCCAGTCTTCCCATTGCGCTGCAGCGTGCCCTTAAACCAGCCATCCTCTCGTTTCTTGTGGACAAAGACAATGTCTCCTTCCTTGAGCTCCAGCTCGGCCTCGCTCTGAGGAGGATAAGAAACCACCACTCGGTGCCTGTAAGAAAGACGGAGACATTTTTGTCAAGCTTCCTTCAAAGCAGGGAGCTTGAAAACTGGAGACTCCACAGAGTCTGTGAGCTCCAAGAAATATCTGAATGAGAAGGGGGAATGAAGCTGTTCATAGAGTATACAGAATTGTAGCCTGGGCTTCTCTGAACATGCCCTATTTGTCTAGCGTGGAGCCTGCTGTGTCCATTACCTTTGATTGGCAGCCTGTCTTTAAAAGTAGGAATCTTTATGTTATCTTTCAGCTGAGCAGCACAGACTCCATGAACTTAATAGGTCTTTCCAGTTTTAAAGACACAGACAGCCAATTAAAGGAGGCCACTCTCATTCATGGTAGGGCACACAGCAGGTTCCATGTCAGACAAAGGGGCATGCTCAAAGCCCTTCAAATCTAGCTCCATTTTAAAAGTAAGCATGCTCAGGGAAGCCAGGGCTACATAACACTATCTCAAAAATAAAGTTCACATGTGCACAGTAGCCCACCTATGTAACTGGCTTCTCTGCCTTGTTGGTACAATATATACAGAGAGTCTTGCCCTCCTTCTCCTTGGCCTGTTCTGGCAGAAATACAGCAGCAGCTATAGTTAGGGATAAGGCAGCTGGCCTAGATGCCCTAGTGCCTTTACCACTTCCACCCTTTTCATGCTTTCCTAAAATGTTTCTACCCCATTCACCTTATGAAAGATTTATTTTTCCCTTGCCTTCCCTTTGCCATTTCCATGAAAGGTTATTAAGAACAGAAAATCTGCCATCAATGTACACTCACCCCAAGTTATTTCTAAGGGAGACAGTCATTTGTAAAGGGAAAGGGGATGGGGGGAAGGATTGAGTTTTTTCTTTCTCTTTTTTTTCCCCTCAAGACAGAAAAAAACCCTTTATATCCTCACGGATACCACTCACTCAAGGTGTAGAATGTTACAGCCCGAGAAAAGGCAAGCACAGCTAATTCCAACTTTCTGGTCTTTCTGGCACTATAATGCCCTTAAGAAATGAAACCTCTTAAAATAGAAGCTGGGTGAGTTGTTTTGTTCTTTGTAAGTGTGTCCTCAGCAGCACAATATCTAACTCACAGCAGGCACTTAATTAAATGTTTGCTGATTAAGAAACCTCTTTTGTTTTGTTTTTTAAGAGGATTTGAGCCCCATCAATGTGCATTACATAAAACCATAGTTCAGTTAAAGAAATGACTACATCAGGAGCATCAAACCAGACTGTCCATTTAAAATGGCCCCAAGATAGGCATAAGATGCTCAGAGAATGCATGCAAAAATTTTGAGCCCAGAGTCTAAAAAGGCCTCAAGAGCTCATCCTTGAATCATAGGCTAGAACCATATTATTCTCCTTACTCTATGGACTCATAAATTTGACCAAAGAGGCAGGCTAACAGAACGGAAAAAGATCTTGATCTGGACTCAGAAGAACTGGGGAAGAACATGACCCATGTGATAACTAGCCAAATGACTTTATTTACCTCTCTTAATATCCTCATTTGTAACATGAGGGAGCTGAACTCTAAGGTCATGATTCTATGACCTATATTCATTATAAGAGTACTACTCAAAGGCTGGACAAAATGGCATATGTACATGATACCTGCATTTCAGCTAAATCCTCTAGATTGACTGCAGCTACCCATCAGCTTAACATGTTATTTTTCTTTGGATCATAAATTTAGAGCTGTAAGGGACATCAGAAGTCCTCTAGTACAATCCCATTTTACTGATGAGGAAACTGAGACCTAGAAAGATTAAGTGACTTGTCCAATGCTATAAATATCCAACAACCCAAGGTTCTTTCCATGGCACCTTGCTTACTGAGAGTTAATTATTTATGGGGCTCTAGACAGCATGTGGGAGGACAAAAAGCAACAGAGAACAAGCTAGTCATCAAAAGGGAGACAGCCTCTAATAGCTGCCTCCCTTTATTTTCTCCAAAGTTGTAAAAACTATCAAGTAACTTACGAAATGGGATGATGGCAGAAGTTGTATACGTCTCTGTGTGTGTGCGCGCGCAAGTGTGAGCATGAGTGCGTGTGCACGTAACTAAAGAGGGTAAGAAGGCTCCTTCTGAAATTTTACTTGGAACAAAAAAAAAATTTGAAATAGTTCGCTGTATGCCAGTAAAATATCTTTTGATTTCCTTAGCTACTTCTAGTTTTAAGAACTTGCTTATATTTACAGAATGATAAAATCAATTTAAATTTTTTTTAAAGAACTGGAAAAGACCATAGAGATTATCTAGTCCAACCCTCAACCTAAAAAGGATAGAAATCTTACACTTAGATATGTACATTTATTTTGCTTACTTTTAAAGTAGAATTTTCCTTCATAGACTCTTAAAAATTAAGAAAAAATCTGAAAGGCACCCAACTGAAAGCTACAATTCACAAGCATTTTCCTTTATAGATCCTAAGTATCTATAAACACTGTGGCAACATGAGAGAGTGTTAAGAAAACAAGGAATGGAATGAGAGGACCTGGATTCAAGATCTGTCACTGCCTGTTACTAGCTGTATGATACAAGGCAAAGCTTCTCTCCCTGGGCTTCTCTTTCCTGACTTGTAAAATTATGGGGGTTGGACTGGATGATCTTAAGGTCTCTATATGCTAATGGTTTCAGACTTAAATACCAGGACTAATGATTTGATGTTGCCTGTTCAAATGGAGGGAGATGGAGGGAACCTGGGAACTATTTAGCAGAATTAGAGAATGATTAAAGGACTGAAAAAGGGTGTTCTGGAGAAAGGCTTGAACTGTAATTATTTGCCCTGGGAAAGAGAAAGTTGAGAGACCGGCTACTAAATAATCATACCTTGTATTTTGTATAATTCTTTATAGTTATAAAGAATTTTATAGTTACAAAGAATTTTCACATACATTTTCTCATTTGATCCCCATAAGAAGCCTATGAAGACAGACAGTACAAGTTTTATTCTTCCCATTTTACAAATAAGGACTCTAAAGCAAAGCAAAGTTAAGCAATTTGCCCAAGACCAAGTAACTAATAAATGATATAGCCAAGACTCAAATGACTGATGTAATAACTAGTCTAGTGCTCTTTTCTACTGTGGAACTTCTACTTGTTCCATAAAAGATCTGAAAATTATCAAGAATTACGTAAAGAAGGGCAACTGTTTCCTTCTGCAGATGACAAGACAGGAAAAAAGGAAATAAGCGGTTATGCCACATTATAAGGATTGTGTTTTTGGCAGGCTGGTTGTTTGCAGACCGACAACCAGCTGTGTGGGCACAGCTGCAAAGGCCCTTCACATTCTTCCAGTCCCATCTTGCCTCGTTCTAATAATGCTTGCACGTTTCAAGAGAATTGACCTCTTTTTAAGATGTCAGGTTACATGGCTTTCACAGAGTAGAAAATCATAAGTGTGATTTGGTGATCAATAGTAGCTAAAAGACAAGACTCCCCCTGTCACAAAAAAAGGTGGTTACCAGTTTCCCAGACTCACCCACCTACAAAGACAATAGCATTATTATTTTTTTCTTCAAAAGGTTTGCCCAAATGTTTTTTAGCCACCACCAGAGCACAGTCCCATGATGGCTTGAAACAGATAGCAAGTCTCATGAAGAAATAAATGTCTTCTAAAAATCCTGAGTTGATCTTTCAGTGGTTTGGGCTAAGTCTATCTAGTTTTGAGTTAAATGGTTTATAGACATTTTTCCTTCTGGCATATAATTTCTTATTCCTTCCTACGATGACATCCCCTCTCTTTCACATCACTATTTTGACCATTCTGGTATTCACAAGTTAGTTAATATTTATCTTCTCTGTAGGTCCACACACTTTTCTTTTTCTTCATTCAGGATATACATACCAAAGAAGCCCTCCATCCAGCTCTGGGGAAGTCCCCAAGCCTGTCATTTCTTATTGGCTTGCTCTGTAACCATTTACTGTTTCAGCTGGTTACCAAGGCAATCTGATATCTAATTAAGGATTTCCCTGGCAATACCGCACTAACTCACTTTATAACCTGCTTGAAGTCCAAGTAAATCATGTCCATTGCTGGACCCAGTCATTTCATTGTCACTGCCTCAAAGAAATTACTCATGCTGGTTAAGCATGACTGCCGCTCTGTAAATCTATCTCTAACCAATTTGTACATTCCCAAGAGTTCTAGCTTAATTCCTCATAAAGACACAGGTTCTTTCCAAATTTAAAAGGCAGACTTGGAGGGATGTGAGTTTGAGATTTGTTATGTATGGCGACCCTTTAGACACCTTATGATTTTCTACAAAATAAATAAAGTTTTAAAATTATTTCTAAGTAAATCTGTAAAAACTAATTTTTCCCCTTTTTGTCTTTGTTCCACAGTATTTTGTTTCAGCTTTCTCTCATTTCAACTCTCTAAATTACTTCTTCTCAATACCTCTTTAAAAAGTCCAAATGTCCTCTTTTATGCTTTAATCAATTTTCCATTTTTCTGCCTTTGGGATACAGAACAATTTCAGGCCTTTTTCCCTCAGACTCCTTGGCAAACACAAAGGAATCCTTTTGTTACTCTGAGAATTCTCAGCTGACACAAACACATTTCAAGGTTCATCTTTCCTTATTATGAGATTGGTTAAGCCTTTACACCTTGTGCCTGCCTCTCAATTCATTGACTGAGCCACCTCCTTTAGTCATTTCCTGTTTACCTTAGCCTTATGGGATGAGTGTACCTAAGAGGAAACATTAGACTCTTTCTCATTATCCTTTTGTCTAGCCATCTATTCATTCAGTGTGTCACAGTGGGGAAAGCCTAGAATCAGCAGAGATCTGGGCTGGAATTCCACTTAATAGCTGTGTGATCTTTAGTAAGTTACCTTTCCTCTCTAAGGCTCTGTTTCACCGTCAGTAAAATAAAAGATAATCATAATTTTAACCTCATAGAGGTATCTGTAAGAAAAGTTCTTTGTAAACCTCAAAGTACCATATAGGTATCAGATACAATAATGTATACATGTTAACATATATCATATGATGCATACATACAGC